AGACAATGGTTTCAAGAGACCCAACCACTCAAGTATCTACCATTGTGATGAGCTGACAAGGATTGTCATCTAGAATCGTCTCTCCTCAGGATGTCACCAGCCAATGGAATCCAAATTAAATTGGCACTAATATTTTTTTTTTTCTTTTGAATTTATTGGGAAATGGGATAACTCTTCCTATTAGATATTAAAAATTAAAAATAATATATATATAGTTATTAGAAATCGAATAGGATTTGATTGAAAAGAAATATAAAATATGCGATTGTTAGGCTATAATAGTTGATTGTGCATACAGGCTGTTATAATTTACTTTACAAGTAACTATGGAGTGTCATGTACCATATTGTTATATGCTATTTTTGTCAATTATGAGGTAGATTCTTTAAGATTTTCATTTAAGAAAAATATACTAAAGTCCAAACTTCTTGAAACTAGGGAAGCCATAATTCTACTGTACTGGGTGATTACCCAAACCACATTTAAGTAACCAATCTATTGTGGTAGCACTTATTTTTAAAATATTTTTTATAAAAATATATTTAACTAATATTTTTTAAAAAATTTATTATTAATATTAACATTTCAAAATATTAAAAAATATTAAAAAAATCATTATTGCACCGTATGTATAAATGATGTCTTAGTATATTTTCATTATTGCACTGTATGTATAAATGATGTCTTAGTATATTTGATATTGCGATAGTTTTTATGATTATTTTAATTTTAAAAAAATAGATTTAAAAGAAATATTTTTAATTATGATTAAAAAAATAGATTTTAAAAAGATATTTGATTAAAATTATATTGAAATAAATTTTTACATGTAAAACAAATAAAAAAATGTCTCCATCAATTAAAAAAAACATGTTCTTTCAGTTTCTGTTTCTACATTGACTAGTATTAAAAATACAATTACGTATAAAGTCCGGTACGAAAGCACCCTCTAAATGGAGAATGAACTGTATGTATGTATTCTTCCCATGGACAAATCACCTGTGATTTTTCCATGGGAAAGGCAATTTCCCTTCAGAATACAAGAAGATACATGTCTTTTGAAACTCTTGCTAGCTGTCTACCTATCAACCAAGAATGACGCTTCTCACCGTATGTCACTATAAAATTTGGTTGATGGCACCAACACTTTCCCATCGGTATTCATGGCTTTTTCCCCGCACGATCCAACGGGTTTAAGAAACTGTTCAGAGCTGTTCTCGATGTGGCTTCCTCTTGCTTTCTTGATGACTAAAAGAAATTCCAAAGACCCCACAACCTATGACTCACACAATACCGAGTTTAAATATCGAGTCTAGAGCCCCATTTTACAATCTTGAAGCTTCCTCCAAAATCCCACAGAATCAATAGCAGCCAAGTCCCCTTGGTTCCAAGCAAAAAGCAGATATCAGCCATGGTATTAACCTCACAGAGCCATGATCTCCCTTTGAATGAGAATGACTCGCAAGACATGGTCATATACCATATGATCAATGAGATCGGTGCCCCAAATAGCAGTACAAATAATACGCTTCCAAGAAGCCATATCAACACTTCAGGCATGCTCCCACCAGCTAGGACAGCCGTAGCAAAGAAGCACTACAGAGGCGTGAGGCGTCGGCCATGGGGCAAATATGCCGCCGAAATTCGCGACTCCAGACGACGCGGGGCCCGTATATGGCTAGGCACATTCGAAACGGCAGAGGAGGCTGCCCTGGCTTATGATAGGGCTGCTTTTCACATGCGCGGCTCTAAGGCCCTCCTTAATTTTCCAGCTGAAGCGGTTGCTGCAGCTTCATCAACTCAAAACTTTCAGCCAATTTTGAGCTCAACAAGGTCAAGTAAAAACGCTTTGGACACAAGTTTCAGCTGTAGGACAATATCAATTGCAGCATCGCAACCTGAATCACAGGGTAGCAAAAGTGGGGAGCCGCGTCATAAGGGGTCTGATATCGTAGAGAATTAATTAGTAGATTTTGCTCAAATTTGTCGAGCAAACAATTTGTTGTTGTTGGACTCTGTCTATGATCATCATTTGCATATGAGAATAGGTCAGTTGGGTATAGTTTGTAGACTGCGTCAAATGCATAATGCAAGTGCATCACTGAAGTGTTATTCTGTAACGAGATGAGTGTCATAAAGGGCAAGACCAACGACAAGGAACTAATCAAGGATTATAAATCCAATCTGTTCTGAGATATGAAGTTGTGATTAAAAGTTGAATTTGATCATAAGCACTGTGTGTGTGTGTGTGTGTGTGTGATGATGATGATGATGATTGCAAAGGAAAACTTCAAGAATTATTAGATGCCTGACTCGATGTGGTTTAAATATTAATTCATGTGGATGGCCTCATGGTCAGTACTTTTCTAACCAAAAATACCATAGCTTCAAAACTTTATATTTTATTTTTTAGTATCATTTTTGGGGTGCAAATCTATTACAAATCCATTTTTTATCCATGGAGTTTCATAGAAATTTATTTTTTATAAAAAATAATATCTTTATACCATTTTGACATGTTAATATCAAAAATAATTTTTAAAAATTAAAAAAAAATTATTCTAATATATTTTTATGTAAAAAACATTTAAAAAGTAATTTTAAAAATAAATTTATTAAAAACAAATTAATTAGTTGATATGAATCGGATTTCTCAAATCAACATGGTCTCTTATCTAATGAGAATTTTAGTAATGATAGCGGGTATTTTATATATGATTTAAGAAATATTGAGACAGTAATATATACTCTTCAATTCAGGTTAACTATCAAAATCTAGACGTCAGTATCAGTATGAGTGTTTTTTTCTTCTTCTTCGACCTCTTCCTTTTGGCCAGTAAACCTCCAGCCGCCGGCACCTTTAAAGCAATCAACTTTGAACAGGTCATGCTCATGTTATAACAGGGATATGTTTTTCTTATAAGCCGTTTGGAATTTTCAGAGTTTCTTTTAAATTTATTTTTTAAAAAAATTAATATTTTATATATTTATTAAAAAATAATATAAATCATATTTTGAAACTTTACCTAAAAGTTTAAATTTTTTAGTTGAAATAGTTATTTGATATGGTATCAGAACTTTGATAACCAAACAGTCACGAGCTTGAATCTCAACATCCCTATTTATTTGATAAAAAAATTAAGTATAAAATAGCGTAAGTCTGTGCAAGTTTTAAACCCAAATAACTCTCACTTGAGGGAATATATTAGAAAATAATATAAATTATATTCTGAAACTTTATCTAATAACAATTAAAATTTTTAGTTTGGGATGGTTCTTTGATAATATTTAGATTTGATGTTAACTTTTTAAAAAATATATATTTTAATATATTTTTAAATAAAAAATATACTTTCCAGTAAATAAAAAATAGATTTTAATGTGATAATAGCTGACAAGTTATTTCACTAATCCTAGAGATTTATTTTTTATCCATGGAGTTTCATAGCCTTGAACTCATCTTTTCCTCCTCTGCTTTTGCAGGATGACAGCCACTAAGCTTAACATATGTAATATATTGCTTAATTTTTATTATAGTACTGCTTCGAGTAAATGTGTTATGCTACCGGTTGGATTTTAAATTAATTTTTAATATAAAAAAATTAAATGCGGTTCCTAATATCACAAAGTTTTTATATTAAGAACTTGAAACATGATGATGGTGCTTAATAAAATATATTAAAAAAAGATATGAACTTATAAATCATAACAGAGTTGCTAATATTAATTAAAAATTAAAGTAAAAAGTTGATCTTAGTAAGGAATGAATACACATACAAATATTTATTTGAGTTTATCTCGCAAGGTACCTTTAAAAAACATTTATTTAATTATTTGAAAATTAAAATGGATATTCGTAAAAAAAATGATTTAAATTTTGAAGAAAAATGTATTTTCTAGTTAAAGTTCTCTTTTCTTATTCATGAATTGTTTTTTTGGTTTTTACAAGAACATATTTTTTTCAATTAGTAATATGGTTTATTGAATAAAAAATAAATAAAAATAAAATAAATATTCACTAACATTATAAATAAATTGATTTCTAATAACCTGATATGGATCTTGTGACTGATTAAGGCCTCAGTTTTTTAACTTTAAAAACCTAAATTTTGGCCTTTTTAATCCAAAAACATTAAAAAAAAATTATATTGACTTTGAAAACCTCATTTCTAACAGAAAAACATATTTTAATTGGATTAAAAACTTAAAATTAAACCAATCAAAAAACTTATTAAGTCAAGATCTGCTTTATCATTCATCATTGAAGGTGAGAATAACTTAAAATTCAATTTTGCAAACACATTATTCAATTTAACATCAAAGTATTGCATCTCACATTGGATACATGAAAGCATGAAAATTAAAGTAGATTATGATATACAATATCATTCCAACATAACTTGCAATGATCAAATTGAAAAGAAAGAAGTTTGATGACCAAAATGTAAAAAATAAAAACTTTAAGGACTAAATGGGAAATTAAATATGAATAGTGGAGTGAATAGGTAAATGTGAGAGGAAAAATAATAGCAATAGAGTAAAACAACAATTTGTTTTAGTTGGTAATGAATTTTTTTCTTAAGAATACCTAAAATCCTATTTCACAAAATTGTTAATCAATTTAATATTATAATACTACACCGTGCATTAATTACGTAATAACATGAAAATTAAAGTAGAGTATAATATTTAAAATGGTTTCATAATAACTTATAAAGATAAAATTAAAATAAATAAAAAATTCAATAATCAAGAAGGAAAAAAATTGTTTATAAACAATCGGATGAACCGGCAAATATAAAAGGAGAGGAACAACCCAATAAAACAACAATTCATTTTAGATATTAGTGTTAAATTAATTAGAACCCGTTTGGCAATATGGCTAGCTCCTCGTTTGCTAAAAAATTGAAACTTATTTGCATTTAAAATTATTTTTATATATTTTTAAATTATTTTGATATTCTAATATCAAAAATAAATTTTTAAAAATATTTAAAAAATATTTGAATACGTTTAAAAAAACACTAATTAGAATATACAGAAAAGAAAACAATAATGATTTTTTTTGGAAGAAAAGGAACATTTTACTAGACATACAAAACCTGACTACAAATAATATTCCTGACCGCCTTTGAATTCCTACATTGACAGCACTCCGTATGCCTAATGAAGTTTGTGTAAGAAGTAAAAAATAATTATACCAACGATATACTTCGTCTAGAAAGAGGACAGCAAACTGTCCAGGTAGTCACTCCCCAGGTCCTGAAATTCTACCACATCATTCGCAAACAATTCTTCTGCGCGAGCCGTTCTCTTGGGTCCAGGTTGTTCCATCATTGTCGACTCACTTTTCACTTCCCAATCTCTTGAAGCCCTTTTTCTATGGATAACTGAAACATTGTCGCTGCTTCCTGGAAATGTGCAAGAATTGTTGTTCCCTTGAGAATTTGTGGTGGACAAAACACTGGAGTCGTTTCTGGAGCAGTCAATGCACATAGCCTTTGCAACTGTTTCAAGTGGGAAGTTGAGGTATGTCTTGGGGCCTCTGATTCTCAAAGCAGCCTTGTCGTAAGCCAAAGCTGCTTCTTCAGCTGTCTCAAAAGTCCCAAGCCAAACTCGAGCTCCTTTTCTCGACGAGTCCCTTATCTCTGCTGCATACTTTCCCCAAGGCCGCCTCCTTACTCCCCGGTAATGCCTGGTAGTCACTTTCTCTACTTTCACAGTACTCGCTATGGAGCTTAGGCTGCTGGGACTTCTGTTTTCTGCAGTATCATTGCAAGTACTGTTCATTTGAGGAATGATTCCATCAAGAAGTTCCTCCCAGGTCTCAGCACCAATCGAGATCCACCTGCCTAGACTCGGTAGCCTTTGTAGAACCTCCATGGACTCATCTCTCCTATCAAGACTAGGCAATTCCTGCCATGATTTAGACACCTCTTGTTCACTATTACTAATTCCTCTGTCTCCTCTATCTTCTCCTATGTAGCTTGCCCAAACATTCTCTAACATTCCTTCAGATGCTGCACGATGATCACTTTGTATAGTCATGTTGTCATTTACATAAAAAAGAATTGGCTAGTTGATTTCACACAAACAATAAAAAGGGAGGAGGACGGAAGGTGTTACATATATATGTGTATATATCAGCACACGCGTAATCTGTTAATTAACAGCTAAGCTATGCTTATCCTACAACATTGATGTGATTTTAATCCACTTGGAAACTTGTGCTTTAATCCACTTAACATCTAAAGTCATGGAGGATATTGGAATTTAAACACTAAATAAGAAAGAGGTGATATGTGCATTTTAAGGCTTCTCTGTTGACTTGTGTACACGTTCTAATCATTTGCAGGGATTTATCTACGTATGTGCTCTGCATATTTTACTGGAAATTCTTCCCGTAGCTCATGATTAAATTAAATGAGAGACATGGAACCTGAGGAATTGAAAGCTGGCAAAGGAGAATCTGCTGAGTTTTATATTGCTCTTGCTCTGGTGTGATTTTGCATTGCTATCCCCATGTGTTACCACTTTCCTCGTATTGAAGTACATTCACACACAGATACATATAAAGCTACCCTAATTAGAAAATAACTTTCAATTTCCAAAATAAATATTCAATTTTAGACTCGGAGTACTCTTATAGTTAAATCTTTCCTAGGTCTAAAAATTCTTGATGTACCTCTACTGGCCATTTCTTATCCCAGGTTCAGAGTACTGAATGACTTCAGGTGAATGTGGCAGGAGTTCAAGCATAATACGCCAAATGATGAGTCATTCTATTGAATCCTTTGACAAATTCAAGTTGCTGGATCTTGAAGAGTGACAGTTGTGTATTTTCAAAAAAGTGAGAGAAAAGGGTATAAACCTTGATGCTTAGTTTGCTTTGCAGGTACTTTTTGTTACTAGCTTGCTGTAAGGCATTTAAGAGATCATGTTCCCATTGAGATTTCTGGTTTAAAAGCATAAAGGTCCTTTCCAGACATTCCTTTTCAGTCGTCTCGGATCTTGAATATTCTGTATCACTTACCAGCATTATTGAATACACCAAGAAGCAATTCCATGTGCCAGATGCTTTAACTACGGAACTAAAGGATTCTATTTAGAACCCATTCTGTTGTAAGTTCTTCGAGTTGTTCTAACCCGCAAAAGCCCTCCAAGCTAATCGTCAGAGTAATGCTTTCTCCGAGACGAAGGTGTTGGGCTCGAGCCCTGTCCTTTTGTCAAGGAGATTTGGTTAAGAAACCTGCATGCCATGAGGACCTTGAATACAGTTACGGATACCAAATCCAAAAGCTTAATCTATCAGAGCACGGATTCATCCATAAACACCTTACAAACTCCTTCTACCTTTAACCCAGAGTGAATTATAAACTGCTTATGGTCTAGTCATTAGGTTTGAAAATACCCCTACAGCATCAGCAGTTGCATAGTTTTTGCGGTCAATTCTCGGTGATCAGGGGTTGTGAACTTGATTAATAAAAAAAAATAGATCCACACGAATGGGACATGAAAATTCAAACCCAAAAGGGAGGTATGTATAAGCTTGTGATAGAAGCAGCCATAAATTGTACAAATGCGGCTGTCTGAATTCAATGGATTGGAGAGAGATGACTTATTATATTCGTTGCCAGAAACCTACAATATCGAAGTTGTGTTTTAGACTCCGCCGCATCAGGATGTTGTAGTGTGCTCGATCAATTTAAGAAATCAACTCCTTTTGCGTCCTTCATTAGCCCATCTCAGAGAAAACGTTGTGCCAATGGGTTCCACACGTTTATTGGGTCCCATTACGATTTCCTTCCTACTTAGTTCTTTTATATCTTTTATCTGAAACTACTGGCCGAGAGTTCATTCTGAAGGAAGAGATGAAGACCTCTGACTTCTCTTCCAAGTTATCTCTCTCGAAAAAGTTGTGGATTCAGCTGGAATTGGGTCTCTATGAGTATTGGGCGTGGCATGATTCCACAGCATGGAAGCCTCCTAACTTTTCTGTCTAACGGGCTTTTGTTATCTGCAACAACTAAATAATGAAACTCAGGCAACGTCTTAGGCCCGGTAGTCATATGGTTGGTACAATATGGTTCAGTGGCTGCCAGGCATAATTAATAATGATTTAGAGGGCTATTTTTTTGGTGTTTTAAAAATATTTAAAAAAATTGAAATTTTCTTATTCTGTTGTTTCAAGTTTTATTTTTTTTAAGATTATTTTGATGTGTTAATATTAAAAATAATTTTTAAAAAATAAAAAATATTATTTTGATATATTTTTAAATAAACAATACTTTAAAAAATAACTTTAGTTCAAACAATTATTTTTATTTATTTTTATATTTTCAAAATACTTCTAAAATTCTAAAATTTTATTTGTATTTGCATTTCCAGAGTTGATTACTCACATGGATGAAAACATGAATTTGTGATCAAAGAAACAAACTTCAAGAGTCAATACACTGACTAAGAGAGTTAAAATCAAAAGAGATAATATGTGCTGTTTTCAAATGTTACAACATACACCGAATTTGTGATATTTATTTATTAAATTTTTTTATCATCTATCATTTTTTCATATTAACCGACTTTAACAGGCTGGATAATACAAATTTTACATATATTCTTGTTTTTTTAACGCCCATACTTGTAATCTAAGTAATAAAAAAAGTTGGGTAACTTATCAAAATTTATTATTCAAGTTATTAAATTAGATAAAAAAATTTAATAAAAAAAATCTATAAAGCTTTTTTTAATAAATAAACCAATATCAAATGGTATAAAATTAAAAAAATGATTTTTTTTAAATTAACTCGTATTGACTTATTAAATTAAAAATATATTATTTGAAAAAATTCATCATCCAAAGATAAAACTAAAAAAAAAAAATTGTCCCAAATGATCCAAAGCTAAAAAAAAAAATAAAGAATAAAAAAATAAATTAAAGAATAACTATAAATTTTTATTAAAAAAATCCATTTAATAACTACAAATTTTTATTAAAAAAATCCATTTAATAAAAAAAACTAAAAGAGCGATAATCTAATTTAAAAATAATAATAAACTACAGATGAGGATTAAAGGAGGTTGTTTAGCTAGTTCACGAGGAGGAGGGGAAGCGTTGTGGCCGGTTTTCGTGAGCAAACAGAATCAAAGAGATGAAATTTTATCACTCAACTCTTTTTTATGTTTTTGATAGTTATGACAATATGTGAGGGGGAGAGGAACCGTTCATGAGGGTATGTTTTTGTTGATGGTTCACTTGTCTCCTGGAAAAGGAGGTCACGGGTTTCTGGGCTGGTTTCTCTTGTGTTTCTGGGATTATTAGTTCTTGACCCAGCAGGTAGGGAAGGCTGGCAGTGTGGGTAATGGAAAACAATCACAAATTAGCGTTCAATACGTAGAAGTGTAGAATTTGCCCAACATGCTCGTGTCTGAAACGATCTGCTTAAATATAATTGATATAACAATTGGAACAAAAAATAAAAATAGGAACAGTAAACTTAGTTTGACTTGAACAGCACATTAATATTATAAATAGTGTAATGAGATTATCAAACAGCAAGAGTGAAGAGGATTATATTTATATAATCACTTAAGAGACAGCCGAAAAGGATTTTAGTTTCCAGTTTCTTTTTTCCAATCTTCACAAGCTGTTGGGTGCCTGTTTCCTAGCCTGTAATCAACAGTAACAAAAACACCGTTTAGCCTATATGAGTGCTCGACCAAGAGATGCTATAGCCTCGTCAGCTAAAATCTGGTACATTTTTTCTGTAGGATGAACAGCATCCCAAAACGCATATTTTGATGGATCAGCACATGTGGTCAAGCCTTTGCATGTGTCCCCGTATTCTACAGTTCCTGATCCACAGCAACCTTTTGAAGTTTCCACCAATCCTGCCGGATAGAGAAAAAGATCATCACCAACAACTGCTCTTTTTTTTTAATACATATGGTAAATAAGAGTGAAACAGAAGATTTTTTTGGGATATGTACTAACCAAATTTCTTTGGGGTGTTGATTGCATTTTGTATGACACCATAGCAATCAACATAAGCATCTTTAATCCCTATTTTCTTGAGAATAGCCAGTTTCTCTTTTATCTTTGCGTTGAATGACCAGGCTACTTGGTTATAGCTCTCGACACAAGTATTCTGACCCGCCAGGGTCCTAACGATTGGCATGCATCCCAGAGGAGGCACCCCGACAACCACCACTCTAGTGGCCCCCAGTCTATTCATTCCCTGCAAAAATATTGATGATCAACGCTGTGCCAACTTACCAAAAGAAAACATAACATAAATTTGTTCAGAAAGTAGATATCGATCAGTTGGCATGGCATTCGATGAGAAATGCAAATTGCCCCTTTAATATGTTCATGATACTATGGACAAGCAAGAGGCCAAGTTATTGGGGAATGGAAAGACCGTTTCCAGCAAAGCAACGAACTTGGTAGAGGATGTAAAATTATCACCAATATTTCAACTAGCAAATGCATGTGAAATGATTTTGAACAAGAATCAAACTGAAGTGCACAAACTTGTCTAACTTGATTTCCTTGATCACTGAGGTTTACGAAATAGTAATAACTTATTGAAAGAGAGAGTAAGCACCTTAATGTCCTCGAACATCCTTGATGCCAAGAAATTTTGGTACTGTTCAACGTTGAATTGCTTGGGGCGATTTGGTTCCAAGTAGTAGTTCTGGAGAAAGTCATTGGTGCCCATACTCAAAACAAAAATAGCATTATTTATGATGTTTTGTGCCTTCTTTACACCCACCAACCGAGACAAATGGAGCTTATAGTGCTTCAAGTACTCTAGCTGCTTGGAAACCGGCAACACTTGCTATTGCAATTTGCAACCAAAGAGGAAAGACAGGAAAGGGAAAAGGTTAGCATCATACAATGACAAGCATTTCAGAACTTTTGCTGCTATTCGCAAGATGATGTGGTTAAAAGAAAAGTAGAAGGATTTTTTGTGGGCTTACTGAGAGATTGGCAGTAAGGTCATCATAACCAGAAGCAGCAGAAGCAAAACTAACACCATGAAGCAAATCTGCTGGCTTCAGATTAGGATCAAGAAAGGCTGGAATTATCTTCGTATAACCAATTGCCTCAGCTGGGGAAAGAAGCATAAACTATATATTAATCAAATGAAGGTGACATACGAATTTTTGTAGCGTAATGACAAGAATTCACCTATGAAATCTGTGGCAAGTCTTCCATTGCTTAACCTTCCAGTGGGGCGACGGTCAAAGAAGTCCTTCCCATAGGGAGGAAAGTTGCCCTTCGCAGTCGTTGGAAGGCGGTTGTTATTGCCAGGATCAACGCTTGAGTCTCCAAAGACTAGAACACAAGTCACATTGTGTTTTGCTGTCAAATGCCTCAATTGACGAATGTCCACTGCTCCTGAGAACAATGGCATCAGTGCCATTAATGCTAGAACCGTCACCATTGGAACTTTTGAATGCATTGGTGTTGTCTCCTTGTAAATTTGTCAAGACTGAAAGAGAATTTGATTAGTGAAGGCATGATTTGAACTACGTACTACACCTTTCTTAAATAGCCAACGAGCATCTCCTCCAATAGAAATAAGCTATTTAAAAGAGTTAAATCGATAGTATAGCATCTCCTCCAATATTGTAAATATAGTTTTTTATTTATGTGCATTTTAATAGTAAAAATTCATTTAGAAGATGACATTATATTTTAATATATTTGATACATAATAATCATTTAGAAGATGTAATTATATTTTAATATATTTGATACACAATTATTTTAACAATCTAATATTATCCTAGTTTAATCAATCAGAATAAAATTTTAGCTAGAAGGCATTATAGAGACAACTATCTCTTTCATTTTAGCTAGAAGATATCATGAATATTCAGATGAGTTTATATATGTTTTAATTAATTTTATAGATCTAAAATAATTATATAAGTTTTTAATATTTATGAAACGTCAATTAATTTCTAAAAAAATAAATTTAAAATCAATTAATCTACAAGTCTCCTTCTATACAGGGCCCAATGGTTTGGGGCCTTGGGGCATTAATCAAGTTCTGTTTTTTTTCGTTGCGTGGAAAATTTCGCTGTTTAGCGGTACAGATGAATTTATTTTTCTACCTACCAAGCTGAAAACAATATGGGCTTTGAACAGCGTGGCATAGATTTGGTGATTAAAGTATATTTTATTTATATTTTAAATTGATGTTTTTTATATAAAAAAAACAATTTCATTAATACTGAAAATAAAACATAGCCATTACAATTCCACAAGATTCAAATAGAGATATAATCGATTCTAATAACTGGAAAAAAAAAAAAAAGATTTGATCACTATATCAGAAACTATCGACCTTGTAAGTAGCATCTCGTCCTCATTTCACATACTTTCAAAGAGTTCTTCGAGGGTTTCCTTCTTTTCAAGCTGTTCACAATAAGATTGTTTTTCATGTGTTTAAGTGCATGCTTGTATAATAATTAATTTTTAAAGTATTTTGTTATTATTAGATTTAATAGTTTTATCAATGAAATTTTTTATTAGTATTTATACTATTTTTTTGTGATTATTTTACCAATAAAATCACATAAAAAAATTATTTGTTAAAAAAAATACTTATTAGTAATTTATAGTCTCTCAACAAGTTTATTATTAATGAATTTATTAATTGCTTTTATAGACAAACTATACATGCGAAGAAAAAATTATTTACTTCAATCCATCAATAATTCTCTAGGTGAATTGCAATGGCATTAATAGTGCAATTTTTTCAACTTTCTGAAATATACCAAAAAAATAATATCATTAATGATTTAATAGTTGTAGGAGTATTTATTATAATTCTTTTTTCAACTCTCTAAAATATATCTACTGAGATGAGTTGTACATTCTTGCAATCCTTAATCTAACAAAGTTGCGAACCCCGGAGTTAGAGTGTTCAGTATCGATTGTGAGTACCAAATGGTTGAAACATTACGAGTTGTTTGTAAGTTCTCGACCATAGTATTAGAAAGTTCGTACACTTGATTTCCATCGAATCCACCGGATGATCCTGCCTCCAACCACAAATTTAAATCAAAATTCGAGTGGGTCAGAGAATCGTTTTCATATCTCTTTTTCAATCAACTATTATATATCTCCTATAAATAAAAAATAAAACCATCAAATTCAAGTAAATAATATCTTAAGAAATAAAAATGGTTGAAAATAACATATCACAAAGTGTTGAGTTTCGTTATCAACAAACTACTACACCTTTTTTTTTGCTATCATCACTCTACACGTGCGTTTCCACAAAAAAACTTCATTTGATTTAACTCATGTTTAAAAGTCATGGCTGTATCATAAAAATATTATTAGTTAAATATATTTATAAATAATAAAAAATATAGTGATTAGAAAAATTGTGGGTTATTGAATTGTATTAAGATTGAAGGGGGAGGGGTGATTGTTTTGTTGTAGAGA